CATCATCCCGGTGGCTTATATACAGCCGTGGGGGAATGAACAGCACTTCACAAGAAGGAGAAATGGTTAGGATTTTCAAACATCAGAGATTATAAGAAGGCACTTCTCTGACGACAGAGAAGAGGGAATCTCTGAAACAAGCAAGATCAGGCTCCACCATTCAGTAAATTAAACATTACTCAGCTGGTCACTAGCTGAACTGTATTCTGTAGCTACAGATGCGATAATTCAGGGCTGACTGAAAAATCGAAAATAATTCAATTGTGTGAGCACTGGAAAATGTGTCCTTGAAATCGGCCAATAAGTAGCCACAGGGCAGAATCCCTGTATGCTTAAGGATGGTGGACTGACTCAAAGCTGGAGGGTCAAGAAGGTTGTCTAATTACAGCAGGATGCCTTAAGTAAGAGTGGGCACCCCACCATGGAGGTGACCTCTCTCCTACATTTTAATATTTAAGAAATGCCCTTAGCTGACAGGCCGCCATTGTAAAAGGGGAACAGCATCCACAGGTTGACCTGTGACTGCGACTAAAGACAGGCTTGGAGTCCTGGCTCTTACCACCTTCAGGCACGTACATTATTTCCGAATTCCTCCACAGACACTGAGGTCAGCTAGAAAATCACAACTGGTGTCTAAAAAGAGACCTCTAGCAAACTCAGTTGGTTACATGTCATTTATGGGCATGTAGACCTGTTAACAACCCTTGACCCACACTAGCTCCACAAAAATCACCCAAGGATGAGATGGTGTCAGAAAACTGGCATGCTGGCCAACATGAAATTTTGTGCTCATCCATCTTCTGTGCTCACTCCATTGAGGACTAAAAGTCCTTGCCCAAGGTTCACACATGAGAGTCTTCAGACATACTAGGAACAAATACCTAATGCATTTTTCTATGATTATTCACATTTATATCACTGGAATATCTTTTATGCGAACGGTTGGAATATGGCTAAAGAGCCCAACTTTCCATTTTAAAGGGTGGGGAAAACTATTGACATCAATGCATATCAATTCAATAGACTGAACAAGGGTTCACTGAAGTGAGGCCTAAAGCAACGCTTCTGACTCTGAGGCAGGAATGACTGACTGGAAGTGACTATTTAAATATAACGTTCTAGGCTCCACCTGAAGGGGAATAAGAGCACTAGATAAATTCCACCAGAATGCCTTTGTTGCACCTCTGGGATGACCATAGAAGAAATGTTGGTGTCCTTCTTGAAGCCAGCTTTACAAGCATCAGGCAAAACAAAGTTAATTACAATGGATGCAACGTTGTATCATCATGGCTGAGAAGTGTCTCCCCTGTCAAGCCCTGTTTTCACAACTCCCAAATGACTAGTGTTCCAATCGAGGCCGGAAAAGATACTACAAAGACACTCTAAAGCTCTCCTTGAAGTGCAGCAGCATTAACATTAATGATTGGGAGGAGCTTGCTACCAGTCACTCCAAATAATTGTTCAATAAAAACTTGTTCATCAAGCTGCAACAAGCTCTGAGACCAAACATCTTAATGATGAGGCAGAGAACAAAGGAAAGAAAGCAAATTCTGCTCTCCAGGTTGTGTTATCTTTCGGGATATATGCCCCATGCTTATTTTTTATTCATTTGTGGGACATGGGTGTTGCAAGCTGGCCAGTATTTATTGTCCCACGCCTAGCTCCTCTTGAACTGAGTGGCTTGCTAAACCATTTCAGAGGCCAGTTAAGCATCGATCACATTGCTTTGGTTTGGAGTCATAAGTAGGCCAATCAGATGAGATGGCAGATTTCTTTCCTTGAAGGGCATTAGTGAGTCAGATGGGTTTTCTCCCCAGTAATTGACAATAGTTTCATTGTTATCATTAAACTCTTAAATCCAGATTTTTATTGAATTCAAATCCCCACCCCCCAATCTGGGATTGAAACTCAGGACCCCAGAACTTTAACTGAGTTTATGGATGAAGAGTCGAGCGATAACACCATTAGGCTATCACCTCGCCAATTCCTCAATGTGCCCAAAGAGCAACAGGTTGAAAATAACATGAATATAATAACATTTTTAAAATATGAAGACCCAAAACTCACAACCTGAATAGACATCATCATCAAATCGAGGGACAGCCAACAATGAGAATTATGTTTTCAACTATTTTTTGTGGTTTTTGAAAGTACAAATGGATAAGAGCACAACAAAAGCAATCTGTGATCTACATGACCATGGGAAGGAGCAGTGTATCCCTTTCACCATTCTGATTGAAGGATTGTGAAATTAACAGCACACTCGCATTCAAACTGATGCAAGAACATGGAAATGTTTCAGGGGAAATTACACAGCTCTGGGACCAAATTCCATGGTTTTTATGTGACATTTTTCTGATAAGCACTGATTGAGACAGATAAGACAAGGTTTCCTGTCTGAAAACTGACCTATGGACAGGGTATTGAACAGAAAATCAAATATATTCTTCATGCCAACATTACTGCGCAATTTATCATTAACTAGTCTGCTTACTCTGGTTGTTTCAGACATCTTATAAACCTCTTTTTAAATAATACTTTAACTTCCTCCACTAGAACTTGATTAGAATATGCAATTTGTAATCATATGCAGTGCTTATGCACATTTTGGCCATTTGGTGTCATTAAATAAATACTTGAAGATTATTTTAGGCACCACCGTGAAGATATGTGACAGTTATATGTTCACAATAAAAATGCAGCATAATGCTTTTAGAGTAGTACAGTTTTCACTGACACACTGCATTGCATGAAACTGTTTCACTGCACTAATATAGGTTGCCTCCCATCTTCCAGCCTCCATATTCTTGAACTCATTTAAAATTCTGCTGCTAGATCCTAAATTATATCAACTCCCATTCACCCAGTGCTCACTGCTCTACATTAGTTCCCAATCAAGCAATACCCCATGTTTTTATATTCAAGTCTCTTAGTCTTCAAATCCCTCCATGATCTCTGCCATTCTTATCTCTGTAACATCTTCAAATGCTACAATTCTAGTTTCTTGAGAATCCGCTATTTAAAACACAACAACATTGGTAACAGTGCTTGCATCAGCCTGGGCTCTAGGATCTGAAGTTCTTGCTTAAACCTTCCTGTCTCTTTACTGCTCTACCCTCCTTCAGGATAATCTTTAAAACCTCCTTTAACTAAACTTTTGGACAATTGTCTTAATATGTTGCTCAGAGTCAAATGATGTTTGGTAATGCTCCTATAAAACATTTACTGCTTTAATTGTTCAATATAAATGTAAGTTGTTCCTTTTATCCCTCAGTCAAGATGTAACACACTGAAAGGAAACATTCTAGCAAGCTTACACTGTTCATGTACTTGATATTATACAGGTAAGTAGGAGACAGCTTGACAGATTCTTCAGAAACATCAAAGCTTCTTCAAAAGCTCCCAGATACTCTAAACTGCTGACACTATGTTGCCATTTAACATACTGCCCAACTCCACCAGCTTGTTACCTGGATTGTTATTTTATGGATCCCACAATTCTAAATAGGGCAACTCTTTGTAAGTATTAGATGTGGCTAACTGTGCAAATGCAAAACTAGCTATGAAGAGCCGGATTCTTTCTTTGTGCTTCTACAATAATTATATCATGCATAAATGTCCCTGCTTGCTTAAACATATCTGAACGAGTGCTCTCAAATGCATTCACTGTGCACATTCTGAGCACCCGGGTGGAATATTTGTTGGAGTGATGAAAATATTGAGCTTTCATACTATGGTGATAAAAACTTCAAAACTGAATGGCATTCTGTGCCATCCTAGGTCATGTTCGTCCAGGACTTACAGACTAAGATTCCCCTACACCCTCTCAGAATTTTTTCCATTTTTTAAATGGTTCCAGATCCCACTTTATTGAACTGGTCCCTCCTGGAAATTCCATTCCTTCAACTCTTACCTTTTAGGGGAATGTTAGTAGAGCTTTCAGAAAATCCCACCATAAACCCTTCTCATTTCTTTAACTGTTGATATATTCTCAAAGCCCATCTATTTCATAAGGTTTTCAGTCATGTCGTCTCTCACATCATGCAATTGGTTTTATCTTTTCCCTCTTTGTGCATAGCACGTTTGAGAAGTCGTGTGCATTAAAGATTCAATGTGCCCTTCAGCAGTGAGAATACTTTTAAAGTTTAAGTCACCATAGTCCTAGTGAACCATTGGGCTGCTCTCTCATTAAAAAGACAACTAGTGCTGTTTTAGAGACAACAGTGTGGAACTGGAGGAACACAGCAGGCCAGGCAGCATCAGAGGAGCAGGAAAGCTGATGTTTCGGGTCAGGATCCTTCTTCAGCCTGGCCTGCTGTGTTCCTCTGGCTCCACACTTTGTTATCGCTGACTCCAGCATCTGAAGTTCTTGCTATCTTAGTGCTGTTTTAACCTGAGGCTCACCACATCTCAGGCAAGGGGACAGTTTGAGGAGAGTTTTTTTTTTCCCCACACTAACCTCAGCTGGTGTGAGAATTGAAGCCACTGGCTCTGTCACAAAACTAGCTGTCCAGCCAACTGAGCTAACCAGCCCCCTTACTGCAAAGATAGTTGTGAAAGATCCTATACAAATGAAAGTTCTTGTCATAGTTTTAAATGTCCTTATAATAAATATGATTCTAAAAAATGTGGTGACTTTCAATGGAGATTATAGTAAGAAACTGGGGTTGTTTCAAAACTGCCTCTGATAAAGTACAGCACAAAACATCAACTCCTCATAAATATGCGTTTCTTTCTTTTCCTTGGCATACAGACATTGTAACTTGCAGCTCTTACACGCAATTTCTTTTACTAATTTAAATTACTTTATTAAAAGGTTCTGGGAAAGAGTAGAAAAAGTACAGCTGAGCAGCGTGGTAAGCTGGCAACAAATAAGGCTCTGGTAACTCTCTTTCTACACCAAATTTTATATTATTCTATCGCTACAGGTATTTGTTGCACAACTTTTTCCCCGAACAAACTTAGAAACCCGTACTTCCAGCAATTAGACAGACCATTTGTTATATTTGATTAAAAATTCAGTTTATTGAATGCAGAAGTGCACATAAATGAAATACTGCACAACAGTATATATTTATGTATATAAAAAACTATTCACAGATACCAGAATAATATAAACGCATAAACACTGCTGCACAGCAGCAAATTGCTGCATCTGCGAACTCATTACCGAAACTCCCTCGGTTTGAGTTTGCAGTAAATCATGAATCTCAGTCACTGAAGGCTGCACTGCAGCCCAGTCCCTCATATGCCTCAAGCTTCAGGAGGCATGTTTCCTGTATGATCCATTCCTCACTAGCTGCCTTTGTTCTGCTTGCAGCTTCTTCTCCTCTTTGCTCAGCTTTCTGGGAATTAAGCGATCCAGCGGCTGCTCCTCGTCCTCCCCGGACACAAACGGGGAGCAGACGGTCTCCACCAGTCCTATGACCACCCCAAAGAAAGCCAGCACCGAGCCCACCACGTAAAGTTTCACCATCTTCCTGTTGGGTTTTTGGCTCAGCATTTCCTTGGCGAAGGGTATCAACTCGTTCATGGTTTCCATATCTGTTCCTGCCTAAAATTCAAAATAAAGATGGTTGAGCAACAAAACAATTCCAATTTATTTACGGCAGTTATCGTTAACAGTTGACTACATGTCGCTAATTTTAAGTAATCGGGCATATACATTATAGTGCTTTTGTATCATTTGCAAAAGAACCCAGTCTAATAATGCATCTGATGAGTAAATAAAAAAACATACTTAACAATGTATCTGTCTGTCTTTCAACCTGTTTGAAATAATGATAATCTTACCTGGATTATTTTCCTTGTAATAGTTGAATGAAAGATGCACTATTCCACGAGCTGGTCGACTTTGATTGAGCTCATCGATTCCACTCCCGCACTGTATCAGAGTGTGATGTGGGTGACTAGCAACCACGCCGTCCCTTTTTATCCTAACTCCCAGCGACGTCACGTTCAGCACGTCCGCCTCGCACGTACTGTCCAGGAGCTCCAGGCAAACATGCAGCTTGGTCACGTCCCGTCCACGCCAGCCACAGCGGGAATTGCCCAGCCCCCTTCTCCCACTAAATCCCCAAGTCCTGTGTGCGAGCAGAAATCTTTCATTCAGCCAAAAATGACTCTGAATCTGACAGCTGAAGCAGCTGTCGATTTTAGACAGGCAGATAACTTAAACCAACTTCTCAATCTCAACCTTAAATTGGTAAGACCTCTCCTAAATTTATATCATGGGGTGCTTGCAGATCAATAACCAACGGATCTAGCCCAATTTGCTCTCTGTCTCCGAATAACTCTCGTTCTGAGTCAGAATGACGTAGGTTTTGACTAAAATAAAATGTTGCAAGTGCCGGTAAATCTGAAAAGCAGGAAACGCTGGAAATATTCAGCTGATGAGGCTGTGGAGAGAATCAGGCCAATATGGGAAAATAGAAATGTAATAGGTTTGAGCAAGTGAAAGAGAGGAGGGCAGTGGAAGAGCAAAAGGGAAGGTATGTGATGGGAGTGAAGGTATGTGATGAGGGTGGGGGGCCGAAGAGATTAAATAACAAAGGTTTTGTGGAAATGGATAAAATAGAGAACAAAAAGTATGTCCAAATGATGTTTGAATATTTTCATTGAGCAAAATGAAGGATCCAAGAGAGAAAACCAACAAGAAATGAGAATTGAAAAGAAGGCAAAGGTCATGATAGGAAATTGTCCAGACAGCTGTAGAATACAGAACTGAAAGATCAGATGTTTCCTCTCAAGTTAGCATTGTGTTTCATTGGTACATTGACTTTCTTTCATTCTGACAAGTGAGGAGGACACTAGCAGGATGTTGCCAGGTATGGTAGGGTTATAGAGAAAGGCTGGAAAGGCAGGCACTATTTATTAACTGGAGCTTAGGAGTTTGAGAGATGATCTTATAGAGGTTTATAAAATCATAAAGGGTATAGATAGGGTTAATGATAGGTGTCGTTTCTCTAGGATGTGAGATTTCAAGACAAGGGGGCACATTTATAAGGTGAGAGGAGAGAGATTTGAAAAAGACTTAAAGGGCAATTTTTTTACACAGAGGGTGGTTCATGTGTGAACTGAATTTCCTGAGGAATTGGTGGATGTGGGTGTAGTTACAAAATTTAAAAGACACTTGGATATGTGCATGGATAGGAAAGGTTCGGAGGGATATGGGCCAGGAGCAGGCAGATGGGACTAGTTTAGTCTGGGATTATGTTCGGCATGGACTGGTTGGACCAAAGGGTCTGTTTCCATGCTGTGTGACTCTCTTGACAGATGCTCAGGGTCACATTTATGGACTATAAAGAGGTGTTCCCCAAAGCAATCACCCAGTCTGTTCAGAAGAAGGGTCATTGGGCTTGAAACTCTCTTTTGTCTCCACAGATGCTGCCAGACCTGCTGAGTTTCTCCAGCAATTTCTGTTTTGTTTTTTGATCTTCAGCATCTGTCGTTCTTTGTTTTATTACCCAGTCTGAGCCTGCTGTCTCCAATGTAGAGGAAGCAGGGAGCTTATTCCCACTGTCTGCCTCAATCAACATAATAAAAACAGATTACCTGGTCATTATCACATTGCTGTTTGTGCGATCTTTGCTATGTGCACATTGGATGCTACATTACCACAGTCACTACACTTTAAGAAAGTACATCACTATGTGCAAAAGTGCTTGAGAACACAGGTGGTCCGGAAAAGGGCTATGCAAATGCATTTAGAATTTCACTGGAGGTTTTTCATTGAAAACACAGGTGATGAGTTTTTCTGATCACAGCAAGAATGTACAATGAGGCTGAAAGTAAAACAAACTGAGTAACTGTTCATTCATCAGCTACTGAAGCAGTCCATGTCCAAATGCAGCAAGGCCTGGTCAACATCCAGGCTTGGGCTGACAAGTGGCAAGTAATATTGCACCTCACAAGTGCCAGGCAATGATAAGAGAGAATTTAAGCCTTGCCCTTGACATTCAGTGGCATCACCATCACTAAATCCCTCATTGTCAACATCCTAGGGGTTACCATTGACCGGAAATTGAACTGGACTAGCCATATAAATAATGTACCTTCTGGAGCAGGTCAGAAGCTAAGAAACTTACAGCAATTAGTTCACTTCCTGACTCCCCAAAGCTTGTCCATCATCGACAAGGCAAATGTCAAAAATATGTTGGTATATTCCCCACTTGCCTGGATGAGTGTAATTCCAACAACAGTTAAGCAGCTTGACACTATCTAGGACAAAGCAGCTCACTTGATTTGCACTGCATTTATCGCCTTCAATAACCTAGTCCAAGCTCCTCTGAGCTGGTCTGGAAGAATCCCTTGAAATTCTAATCAAGATTACACTTCCATTATGGTCATGGCCATCTCCTCCTCCTATTCAGTCTTTTCCCCCCATTTTCTTGTGCCCTCTGCAAAAAGGAAGTGATAAAGATTGAGGTAGTGAGTGAAAGTGAGCAACTGAGTGAGGGAGGGTGAGTGAGTGAGTAGAGAGGGTGAGTAAATAAATTGGTGAGGGTGAGGGTGAGTGTGAGTGACTGGGTGAGTGTGGATGAGGGTGAGTGGGTGAGACTTAGGGTGGATGAGGGTGTGAGTGGCTGATGGTGTATGACTGACAGGATGGGAGTGAGTGTTTAAATGTGTGGAAACAAGTTACTGTGTGAGATTGAGGGTGACCCATGCACATTATCTGTCACTGGTAAATTGCAACAGGTCACAGTCAAGGATAGTAGGAACTTTCTGAAGAAGGGTCCAGACCCAAAATGTCAGCTTTCCTGCTCCTCTGATGCCGCTTGGCCTACTGTGTTCATCCAGCTCTACATATGGTCACAGTCAAGGTCTGGTGATGTGTTCAGACCCAAAATGATGTCTAGTTATAAAGTTGCTCATTTTTGTAGTTGCTCCTGGAATCCCCTGGTTGGAGGGCAGTAGGCAGAGATGCATTTTCTATTGGGTTCAATTGATCTTTCTTTCTAAGATGTTTCTACCTTTAGAGAGAATCCAAAGCTAGGGGCCTTAAGTATAATACTAAGAAATGTAATAAGGAATTCAGGAGAAACATCTTTGTGCAGTGTAGTGTGAATGTGAAACTTCACACCACACAGAATAATGAAAGCACCAAGTATGGATGCATTTAAGGGGAAACTAGATTACATGAGGGGAAGAGGAATAGGATACATTAATATGATAAGCTCAACTAAGTTGTGAGGAGATTCCTGTGCTGCATAAAAACGGTATAGACCTGTCATGTGCTGTAATTCTGTATATAGAATTTAATATAATCATGTTGAATGACTTCACTTCTAAATTTTGTAGTACCTCATCAAAGTGACCATTTTTCCACAAGATATTAAATAGCAGCCAGCTGTTGTGGAATGGTTGCTGTAGATTCAAATCCTGCCCTCACCTTTCACCTATATGCTTGTACTTTTCTGCCAAGGTCTCTAAATATAGGCCAGGAGCAGAAACCCTGCTCAACCCTCACATCCCTTTCCCCTGGCATTAGATACATTGAAATCATTTTATAACTGCAATGTCACCTTGGCTAAAATCAACTAACGTTCTGAATGCAAAGTCTCGGAATTGGGATTATACAGACTACATGGTTTATTATCATGCAGTGTTTACTCAATTAGCTAGAAATTCAATTTGGCTATGTTGTCTTACTTTGTAAGTACAGATAAATTTCTGCACTCTCTAACTTTTAACAATTTGACTCAAACTTTAGTAAATTGCAAAATCAAGTGACGATTTTATTGATATTTGTAATTGTGTGCCCCGGAACAGCATGCACCTAGATCGGTAAATAGTACATTACTGAATTTTTTCTTCCAAATAGTGAAACTATTACATTTTGTAAATAAGATTATTTACATTCTGCTGTACATTTGGAATCAACATCAATTGTTCTCATTCATCTACAGGCTGCCTATGTAAAAATGAACCCGTTCACCCAAGAAGGGGGAGGGGAAGGAAGGAGACAGGACGGGCTACAGCATCAACATATGTGTAGAGTATCAAATTTCAACAGACAGCAGTGGCAGTAATTTCCCGGTGAAACAATCTGAACTAATTCACCAATCGAACATTAGCTTCAAATAGATTAAAGATCACAGACCCCTTCTCTCTGATGCACATTCTCAACCCATTCAATCTTTAATTTTAATAACTGGGATGTAGTAGCAGATTTATTGCCCACCCAGTTCTAAGCACTTGGATTTGGTGAGGGAAAACAGCCCTAAGGGTAAAGCAGAAAGAGAAAGATTGGAGAATAGACCATAAAACCAGAAGATGTAGGAGCAGAAATAGACCATTCAGCCCATCAGGTCTGTCCATCATTGAGTGAGATTATGGTTTATCTGATAATCCTCAACTCTATGTCCTTGCCCTATCCCCATAATCTTTGATTCTGTTACTGATTATAAATCAGCTTATCTCACCCTTCAATACACTTGATGACCCAATCTTGACAAACCTTTGTGGTAAAGAATTCTACAGATTCACTACCCCTTGAGAGAAGAAAATCCTCCTCATCTCTATCGTAAATGGTGACCCCTTACTTAGATTATGCTCTCTGGTCCATGACTCTCTCACAAAGCAAAACAACTCACCACATCTATTCCAACATCCCTAAGAATGTTTCAATAAAGTCTTCTCTCATTCTTCTAAACTCTAATAAGAATAGCCTCAACCTACTCACTTCTTCTCATCATGCATAGAATCAACCCAATGAACCTCTTGTAGACTGGCTGCAGGGGTCAGAAATAGGGAAAACACTCATGACATGGAGAAAGAAGAAAAATTTATGTGTAGGGAGACTGAGGATTCAGGGTTGGAATGTGAAAACAGTGGGAACTGAGTAAGGAAGGAAAGTGGAAATGGAGATTTGATAGGGAGAGGGAGATTTGAAGGGTTGGAAGGAGGTGGTGGAACAGAGATTGAGTATAGTAAGGAATCAGATAGGGATTTGGGTTTGGGAGATGGTATGAAGAGAGGTAGAAGCTGTGTAGATCAAATGTAGAGACCAGTCTTTTCTGCAGAACCTGAAACAAAAATAGCGGAATAAGTGGGAGAAATATCACGAGAGAAGCAGCCATTAGAATGGTGAGTGAAATCTGAGGATTTTTCTTTAGGTAAACATGGACAAATTAATTCCATTGATGAACAAATGGGGACCAAAGGAGATGGACCATACCAATGGAAAGAACAAAAAAGAAAGAGAAAAAGGAGACCTTTGAACAGAACCAAGGAATGAAATCATCACAAGTGGCTATTGAGGTACAGTCTAGAACATCATTTAAAAACATTAGAAGACATTTTTGAAAAGGAGGAATATTTAAGGCTTGAGGAATTAGGTTATAGGAGAGAGAGCCAACACTAGCACCATGGAGTTGAATGGTGTCCAACTGTGCTACAATTTTAATGATTCTGTGTGAACATTACTTTATTGAATCCAAGCCCAGGGTGTAGTTTATAAATGTTCACGTTAACTCCATGACAATGTGTTCCGGACAACAAGCTCACTGCCCAATGAGTGATCAATGATGGTCAGTGTTGGATGCTTTAGCGTGTAAAGTGCAAGTGCAGATTGTTTCAGACTGAGGTTTTCAGCTCAGAATTGTCACCTTCACATGGGGTGATGGTCCAAATTAGTCTGTGATAGATGGAGAGGGACACGGGGCTCTTTAAAAGTGGCATGAATTGTGAGCCTTACCACAACTTTTGCATTGAGGGTGATTTTGGCTGTACTTGGGGTGACCAACTATGGGCTCATAGGAGTGCTACAAATTACAGGTAAGATATTGTGGTATTAAAGCTATTACCACCTAGTTATGCATTAACTATCAATGAATAAAGTATTAGTGTTGATTATGAGGAATTATGCTGTAACGTCAGCCTCTCTGCTCCTATGATGCTGCTTGGCCTGCTGTGTTCATCCAGCCCTGCACCTTGTTGTCTCGGATTCTCCAGCATCTGCAGTTCCTACTATCTCTGATTCGATTTTAACCCCACTGCGAAGCCTCTTCTAAGGATGCCTAACCTGAAGAAGTTACCCTCCTCCCTCCGGACAAACCTCAAGGGCTCCCTATTTATTTCAAAACCCCCTTCCCCTCCCCCTTTTCTGATGAAGGGTCTAGGCCCGAAACGTCAGCCTCTCTGCTCCTATGATGCTGCTTGGCCTGCTGTGTTCATCCAGCCCTGCACCTTGTTGTCTATGCTGTTACTAGTTTGCTTTTACTTCTTGATGTGACTTCATTTGATGGAATCTTCTTCTATTTGTGATTTTTCTTTGGCAAATCTCTCCCAATCTTTGGTTTAGTTTCTCCTCATCCCTGACCTTAGTTTCCTTTCTTGTCAATCTTCTAGTTCTCTGAATTTCTTGCACTATTGCTTGCATGAAATCATTTGCTAAGACAAAAGAGCATTTGCAGATGTGACATGATTAGAAGTCACGTGATTGAATATTACATTGTAAGCATGTTAGATGATTGTCCATAATGTGACAGCGTGGTCAGATGTCACATGATCAAACCTCCAGGAATGCCTCCAGAGTGAGTTCGCGACTCTGCACACAGGCAAAGAGCACAAATGGCAATCTGATCCAAATGTAGGAATCTGGGGCTTGTAGCAGACTCAGGCCAAATTACATTTACAAAACTGGCCTTGCTTCTTGGTCAATGATAAAGAAATGGTGCTTATAGTTTATTTTTGCTACAGCTAGCCATAAATGTTTCAGAGCTTCTGAGTGGGCACTCTAAAGTTATATTTTCAGGGCCAGAGAGGTTATTTTTGTAGTAATTAAGACATATCACACCATTAAAACTTCACTTTCACCTGAATGCAGCAGCCCTCATATTCTCTGATATGTTAAGTGGTTAAGTACAGCAGATTCACACCCTAATGTGGATTTCAATATTTGACTCTATTGCAAAGGTACTATCAGATGACAGCTTGTGGCGGAAAAGACAAGTTAGACAGGAACTTCTAGATTTCTGTACTTAAATCTGTGGACTCAGGAAGTTGTTGTTTGATTTACACTTTAATAACGATGAGTGCTATTATCTCAGTCTCACTCTTAATAAAACTCCAGGCAAATAATGCAGCAAACATATTGATTTAATAGCACCTGAAAAACTTTCATTTCATTGTTTAGAGATTATCAAAAGAATAACCTGAAATAATTAATAATGCATGTTTTATTAATCACATTTGTTATAATTGTATAAAAGAGCTGTTAAAAACTTACTTTCTAACACAAAGTGGATGTGTTCAGGTAAATTAATTGTGATAGGTAGTACAAATGTTGTAAAACCAGATGAATTTTGCTGTTGCCAAACTTGTTTCGTTGTTTTGATTCTCTGAAATGCAACACTTGTGCTTGGAAATGACACCGAGCACCTAATCTCGATCTCATTATTTACAGCAGTGAAATGCCATTCATCATGGCTAAGTAGTGAATGTAAATAAACCCATTCACCCCAGTTCTTGGACAGAATCCAACTTGTGAATTTCACTTGCTGTCCTCCACTTCTTGCCATCTTGAGTCACAACAGATGATACGGGTGGCACAGTGGCTCAGTGGTTAGCACATCTGCCTCATGTCACCAGAGACTGCGTGGGATGCTGTTCAGAGTGTCAGTGTAGACTCAATGGGCCAAGCACCTCTTTCTGCACTGTAGCAATTCTAGATCTTGTACTTCAGGAGGATGTGCTAATTGGTGGCTGCTAAGGAACAAGCTATATTTCTACCTAGAAAATTCACCTGCATAATGTTGCTGCCGTTGGAGCTATAGAAGTCAGAACAAATGAAAAGGCCAGGCACACTTGTATGTTCTGTGCCGCACACAATATTTATGAGGGCATTTATGTTGTTGTGATTTATGTGCAGCAGAAAAGCTAGGAGAGGGCAGATTGGGACATCAGCCATGGTTGACATAGCACACATTCTGAAAATCTGGGCCTCCTGGGTCCAATTAATCCCCTCTCCTAATGATCCTCTGTTTAGACTGTAACATGGTATTGAGATAGGAGCCAGGCTGCAGAGAGGGGAAACTGTGTGTAAAGGAGGAGGCCTTACACACCAAGGTTATTCAGCGATAGTAGGAACTGCAGATGCTGGAGAATCCGAGACAACAAGGTGCAGGGCTGGATGAACACAGCAGGCCAAGCAGCATCATAGGAGCAGAGAGGCTGACGTTTCGGGCCTAGACCCTTCATCAGAAAAGGGGGAGGGGAAGGGGGTTTTGAAATAAATAGGGAGAGAGTGGGAGGCGGATAGAAGAGGGATAGAGGAGAGGATAGGTGGAGAGGAAACAAACAGGTCGAAGAGGCGGGGATGGAGCCAGTAAAGGTGAGTGTAGGTAGGGAGTTAGGAAGGGGATAGGTCAGTCCAGGGAGGACGGACAGGTCAAGGGGGCGGGATGAGGTTGGTCGGTAGGAGATGGAGGTGCGGCTTGAGGTGGGAGGAGGGGATAGGTGGGAGGAAGAACAGGTTAGGGAGGCAGGGACGAGCTGGACTGGTTTTGGGATGTGGTGGGGGGAGGGGAGATTTTGAAACTTGTGAAATCCACATTGATACCATTGGGCTGCAGGGTTCCCAAGCGGAATATGAGTTGCTGTTCCTGCAACCTTCGGGTGGCATCGTTGTGGCACTGCAGGAGGCCCAGGATGGACATGTCGTCTGAGGAATGGGAGGGGGAGTTGAAATGGTTCACGACTGGGAGGTGCAGTTGTTTGTTGCGAACCGAGCGTAGGTGTTCTGCAAAGTGGTCCCCGAGTCTCCGTTTGGTTTCCCCAATGTAGAGGAAGCCACACCGGGTACAGCGGATGCAGTATACCACATTGGCAGATGTGCAGGTGAACATCTGCTTGATGTGGAAAGTCTTCTTGGGGCCTGGGATGGGGGTGAGGGAGGAGGTATGGGGGCAGGTGTAGCACTTCCTGCGGTTGCAGGGAAAAGTGCCGGGTGTGGTGGAGCTGGAGGGGAGTGTGGAGCGGACAAGGGAGTCACGGAGAGAGTTGTCCCTCCGGAAAGCAGATAAGTGTGGGGAGGGAAAGATGTCTTTGGTGGTGGGGTCGGATTGCAGATGGCGGAAGTGTCGGAGGATGATGCGTTGGATCCGGAGGTTGGTGGGGTGGTACGTGAGGACGAGGGGGATTCTTTTTTGGTTTTTATTGCGTGGACGGGGTGTGAGGGATGAGGTGCGGGAGATGTGGGAGACACGGTTGAGGGCGTTCTCGACCACCGAGGAGGGGAAGGTTATTCAGCGAGCATGTTTCCTGCTTCCACATCAGCCAGAGATATACCTGAGTCACATGTGATGCAGCAGGAGGTGGTCACTGATCTGTGACGTATCTACATCCATAGAGTAGGGCAAGGACAATGCTGTCAGAGACCAACAAGTTGACTATGCAGTTCAAGTTCCACCTTTTTCCTAAGTTGGAGCAGGCAAAAGTGCCAACATTTCCCACTTAACTGTCAGTTACTGCATAGGGAGGTGGCAGAGGTCCAATACACCAAGACAAGGGATGTCACAGTCTATACTTTAACGACAAAGTTGCAGGAGAAGATAGTGGGATTATCAGTAATTCAATGAACTATCACCTGCAGGTATGTGATTCTGTGGATGTGATATGTTAATGGAGAGAGGTACCAGAACCACAAGAATTACCATTCCATCAACCGGCAATCAGTATATCTGTGCACGGGATACCATGTCGGTGAATATCTGCTGTCCTGGCAGCAGTCATAATATCTTCATTCTGAGACAGTTGGTCCACTGTTTTTGTACCACCATGACAAAGCATACATACAAAGCTGAACTATTTGTCCTTGTGCATTCCCTTAGTCCCTGCCTTGGTCAAGTTAGAAAAAAAAGTTGGATTAAGATTTTCTTTTATGACCTCACAACATCCCAAAACACTTTATAATTAATGGAGTACTTTTTAAAGTTATTCGTTATTGAATTTTAGGATTAGCATTGCCTGTTCATACAATGCACAATCTCTCAAACAGCAATGAGATAAATGATCAAGCAATTCATACTCTTAGACAGTAATTGAGGAATAAATATTGGCTGGGACATCAGAAAAAATAGGATGAACACACCAGGCCAAGCAACATCAGAGGAGCAGGAAAGCTGACGTTTCGGGACTGGACCCTTCTTCAGAAATGGGGGAGGGGAAGGGGATTCTGAAATAAACAGAGAGTGAGGGGGAGGCGGATGGAAGATGGATAAAGGAGCAGATAGGTGGAGAGGAGACAGACAGGTCAAGGAGGCGGTGTTGGATCCAGTAAAGGTGAGTGTAGGTGGGGAGTTAGGGTGGGGGTTGGTCAGTCCAGGGAAGACGGACAGGTCAAGGAGACGGGGATGAGGCTGGTAGGTAGGAGGTGGGGGTGGAGGTTGAGGTGGGAGGAGTGGTGAGGTGGGAGAAAGGACGGACAGGTTAGGGAGGCGGGGATGAGCTGGGCAGGTTTTGGGATGCGGTGGGGGTGGGGGGGAGATTTTGAAGCTTGTGAAGTCCACATTGATAGTATTGGGCTGCAGGGTTCCCAAGCTATGCCTGCCTTTTTGTAGGATACGTGGAACAATCCCTCTTCCAAAGCCACACTGGCCCTATACCCCACCTCTTCCTCCATTACATCGATGACTGTATCGGCGCTGCCTCGTGCTCCCACGAGGAGCTCGAACAGTTCATCCATTTCACTAACACTTTCCACCCCAACCTTAAGTTCACCTGGACCATCTCTGATACCTCTCTCTCCTTCCTGGACCTCTCTGTTTCCATCTCTGGCAACCACCTGGAAACCGATATCCATTTCAAGCCTACCGACTCCCACAGCTACCTAGAATACACCTCCTCCCACCCACCTTCCTGCAAAAATGCCATCCCCTATTCCCAATTCCTTCGCCTCCGCCGCATCTGCTCCCTGGATGAGGCATTCCACTCCCGGACATCCCAGATGTCCTCGTTTTTCAAGGACCGCAACTTCCCCTCCACCATGGTCAAAAAAGCCCTCGACCATGTCTCTCTCGTTTCCCGCAACTCAACCCTCACACCCCCTCCCCACAATAACAACCAAAACAGAATCCCCCTCGTCCTCATGCACCACCCCACCAACCTCCGGATCCAACGCATCATCCTCAGACACTTCCGCCATCTGCAATCTGACCCCACCACCAAAGACATTTTTCCCTCCCCACCCTTATCTGCTTTCCGGAGGGACCATTCTCTCCATGACTCCCTTGTCCACCCCACACTCCCCAGCAGCCCCACCACCCCCGGCACTTTTCCCTACAACCGCAGGAAGTGCTACACCTGCACCTACACCTCCCCCCTCACCCCCATCCCAGGCCCCAAGAAAACCTTCCACATCAAACAGATGTTCACCTGCACATCTGCTAATGTGGTATACTGTATCTGCTGTTCCCGATGTGGCCTCCTCTACATCGGGAAAACCAAGCGGAGGCTTGGGGACCGCTTTGCAGAACACCTACGCTAGGTTCGCAACAAACGACTGCACCTCCCAGTCGCGAACCATTTCAACTCCCCCTTCCCACTCCTTGGACGACATGTCCATCCTGGACCTCCTCCAGTGCCACAACGATGCCACCTGAAAGTTGCAGGAACAGCACCTCATATTTCGCTTGGGAACCCTGCAGCCCAATGGCACCAATGTAGACTTCACAAGCTTCAAAATCTCCCCTCCCCCTACCGCATCCCAAAACCAGCGCAGCTCGTCCCCGCCTCCCCAACCTGTCCTTCCTCCCACCTATCCCCTCCTTCCACCTCAAGCCCCACACCCACCTCCTACCTACCAGCCTCATCCCCGCCTCCTTGACCTGTCTGTCCTCCCTGGACTGACAAGCCCCCACCCTAACTCCCTACCTACACTCACTTTTACTGGCTCCATCACCGCCTCCTTGAACTGTCCGTCTCCTCTCCACCTATCTGCTCCTTTATCCACCTTCCATCCACCTCCCCCTCACTCTCTATTTATTTCAGAATCCCCTTCCCCTCCCCCATTTCTGAAGAAGGGTCCAGACCCGAAACGTCAGCTTTCCTGCTCCTCTGATGCTGCTTGGCCTGCTGTGTTCATTCAGCTCCACACTTTGTTATCTCAGATTCTCCAGCATCGGCAGTTCCTACTATATCAGAGAGAATATTTTTCTTTTCTGTGAATAGTACAATGGCATCTTTCACATTAAGTTGTGACAGAAAATCCGAGCTTGATTTAATCTCTCATCCATCAGATGACAGTTCTGACAGTGCAGTACTCCCTCAGTACATACTAGGCTGTCAGATTTAATTTTTTTTGCCCTGGATATTCAGCTAACAAAGTTTTAGAAATAATAAATTTTAATAAATTTCAGTAAGCAAAAATCATAAAGTAACAAAACCTCTACTTGCCGTGTTTCATTGATAAAAAAATATTTTGATTCTTGTTCACTTTGGGCCACATGTGTCTCAGTAGTCACCATATTACAGAAAATTAGTGAATTGAAAGCAGCTATCTATGTTTAATTGTCTTAATACATTGTGGGTAACAGTGGGATCATTCTGTAGAACATGCATATAAACAGAGCAATAAAGGTAAATAGTTTGATAAAACAATCTCAGATTTTGTAGAAAATTAGAGTTTTGATAAACCAAGAAATAAACATCCTCAGATTGTTTTAATTTCATATACTTTTACAACCAAGATCTAATGCAATGAAATATTGTTCCTTAAATTTTCATGACCCATTCAAACTAGGACTGAGTATTTCAGGAAAAACATAATAAAGTAGGTTAAAGTTCACACTTTTTATAAAGTGGAATTTGATCCCTATCTCCACTACTTCATTTCCAGTGGTGAATTTCCATTCTTTGTGATGGTGTAAATAAACCCAGTCACCTTCTGTATTCAGAATGGAGAAACTGGCAAATTTCCTCTGGCTTAAATTCTTTTGATTTAATAGATACCACAAGCCTTCTATAGAGAAATCCAAGCTTACTGAAACAGAATCAGTTTCTTACCAAATTTGACAGAAAACTGTGGGGGGAGGGGGGAGTTGGGGTGTGGGTGGGAGGTGAAATTCTGATCTAGCAGTGGAAGCAGACCATTGAAGCTGAAAAATTGAAGCCTGTTGGGAAGCCAGCTGCAACCTAACAACTTCCAGGTTGAACTGCAGCATATTCAGATGCTTGTAAGAAAGCCCCCTTGGGAGAGCAAGTTGCCAATTTAAATACATTAAAATCCAATTAACTGCGGGTTTAAGTGGGATTTTTGAATGTACCTGGAGTTTAAGGGTTTCCTGGTATTTCCTGGAACTTGTCAATGAAAGCAAGACAAGGAGACAGCAGGAATTAAGGGGTTGAGTAAATGGCACAAAACACTCACTGAACTGTGACCTCAGTGAGCTGCTTCCTGTTCTGAGCAAAAGACTTTTGCTCACAAGACATGCTTCAAGAACGTGCTATCTGTGCTATGGAGGTGATTTCCTTTACTCTAGAGGTCATTTCTGTTTGCCTGGAGTTACATGTGCCTGATGGACGTTTTCCATTTGTCAGTCCTGTGGTCAGGTTGGGTGGCCCTGATCCAGCTTTACCTTGGACCTCAGATGAGGGTAAGGATGAGCAGCAGCAGCAGGAGTAGCAGCAAGTTCCTCTTCACTGACCCCCTGCTCCACAGCACAGAGGGGGATGAGCGCAGACCTACAGTTTATAGGAGGCATTGGCCCCATCACAGGGTTTGTAGCTGGAGGATCCGCTTCCTGGAGCTGTCCAATCAGGAAGCTCCAGGCATCACATCAAGAGATTGTTGCCATTTGAAGTTTCCTGGAAAAGCCTCCCCCCATGGAGCACAGGAGAGAGTTCTAGAATTTTGTAATATGCTACCCACATGTGCAACTGATTCATGACACATGCCTTAATTGCCAGTTCCAAGTATTATGTATTTTGCATAACTAACAAGGATAGCCTGAATGAGTGGCTGCTCTGCTTTGCAGCCCTGGTTAGTGTCCCAGGGGTCATCAACTGTACATATGTGACAATCAAGGTGGTCCAACATCATGTTGTAGCCTTCCTCAACCACCAGGGCATCCACTCTTTCTATATACAGATCAGGTGTAACCACAGAAAGATTATTGTGCATTTTTGTATGAGATTCCCAAGGAGTGGCCATGTTGCTTTCATCCTCCATCAGTCAAGCCTACCTTAGGCCTTCAGACCTCAAAGGAGAGTTAGCACCTAGCTCCTTGAAAACAACACTAAAGACCTGGCTTTAGCATCAGTTAGTAACCCAGATAACAATGCCTAGGAGATGCAACCAACATTATCTGTCTTCGAAAGCCATCATTGAGCAAGCAGTCAGAATACTGAATAAGTGGCTTAGGTGCCAGGTTTGGGGCAGCTTTTCCATATGCTCCAGTGCAGGTGTGTGAGTGGTAGTGCAGTGTGGTACAACAGCACGGAGATTCAGGAGGAAGGACACGTTGCCTCTTCAGGGAATATGTAACATCAGGAGCAGGAGAAGGAACCAGACATGATAATGCTACTAACAGTAGTGGATTAATCAGCTCAGGATGTCTGAAAATGCTTAATCTGTCATAGTTCAGTTGACTGAAGCAGTACATCCATTTTGCAGTCAAATTCCGAACTCACTTGGCCCACTCATTCCCCCAACACAATACAGTCCTCCAATTAACAAAGCCCTGTCACAAACAACAACAATTCATCATTAAATCTTGTTTTATCAATCAGCAAAACAATAAAGGTATTTGGAAGGCAAATTGGGCAAAATGGTGGCAATGTTGTAACAAACA